GAACAAATACTGAATGTATTTCCTAATGAAATGTTTTTGCTTTCAGGATCTGAGCATTTGTCTTATGTGCCATCACTTGTGTCATTTTCAGGTTCCTGTCGGCAAATGTGAATTTACTCAACTTGATCCCTTCTCTACTTATAGCAGTTTTAGGAAATGTGCACAAATCCTGTTTCTCTATGTAGATAAAAGATAAGCATTAGTTTAGTAATTTTTCATACTATTGTAACAATTATAAATAATCTTTCCATTTTTAATTCAAATTTGTTTTAGAACAAATTATTTGTTTTGTTTTATGTGTCACCTGTTGGGAACAAAAGGAAACAAACGTATATACACAGTATATGGCAAAAAATCTAGACCCCCCTCCTTCCAAATGATGGGGTTCAGGTGTCTCCTGTGAAGGTTCTGTTAAAACTACATCATACATAGACATTGTAGACAATTTTGCTTTTCCAGCCTTGTGGTAACAGTTTGGTGAAGACCCTTTTCTGTTCCACCATGACTGTCCCCTGTGCATAAAGCCAGCTCCATATAGACATGGTGTGACCAGTTTGGTGAAGACTCTTTTCTGTTCCACCATGACTGTCCCCTGTGGAAATAGCCAGCTCCATAAAGACATGGTGTGACCAGTTTGGTGAAGACTCTTTTCTGTTCCACCATGACTGTCCTCTGTGTACAAAGCCAACTCCATAAGGACATGGTGTGACCAGTTTGGTGAAGACCCTTTTCTGTTCCACCATGACTGCCCCCTGTGTACAAAGCCAGCTCCATAAAGACATGGTGTGACCAGTTTGGTGAAGACTCTTTTCTGTTCCACCATGACTGTCCCCTGTGGAAATAGCCAGCTCCATAAGGACATGGTTTGACCAATTTGGTGTGGAGGAACTCAAGTGTAATGCACACATTATAATGGACTCTTTGACCATTGGCATGGTGCCCTTACTGCTTCTCATATATTTAGACTTTTCCCCCGGCCCCTCTGATACAAAGGGGGGGGGGGCAGCCTCACCTGAGTCGACTTGGTCAATAAGTCGGTCTTTTTCCACTTAGGATATTAATAATAGAAGATTTTGTGCCTCTTTTCTATGTACCTCAATGAAGTACTCAAAAGGTACAAAACTGTTGACGAGTAGGCTAGGATGAAGCATATTACACAGCAAAGGTTACAAAGTTTTATATTTCCGTCTTCACACAAATGTAAAACATGTTATTGCTTTATATACAGTATGGAATGGGTAGACTGTCAGATTTGTTTTGTGTCCTATTGTCGGCATTTGGCTTCATTTCCTATCCCTGAGACATAAGAAGTTAGAGGAAGTATCGTTTTGGGGGAAGGAGGGAATCTGTTGTCAGCTGTCCCCATTGGAAACTTTCTTCTCGCCTCCGGTCCTGGTGGCAACTGTATCATTTGGGATTTCCCAGTGTTGATCGGGACCAGCAGAGAGAGGGTGGACTGCGTACAATTCAGAAGTGGCAACAGTCACATTCAATGAAGGTCAACGTGTTTTGGGGGTTCTAAGGTCCCCCATTCATCAGGGCTTGGTAAATGCTGAAGAGAAGCTGACACTGGAACTGATACATTTGGAATGATTTGAGGGACAATTTGAGTTTAGAAGCAGCTTCCCTGGCGCCTTCCTCCTCGCATCCTCGGTTGAAAATGAGCAGATTCACATTTGGTCCTCTCTGGAAATGGTCCAGAGCCAAACACACAGCTTTTAAATTTCGAAGCTGAACTCCGGGATGAGTAAATACTGTCGTCATACAATAGTCATGTGTATTCTTCCCTTAATCTCAGTGAACTTTGTGTATTTCTTCCAGATCTGTGCAGTAACCTAGTGTGAGACTCTGAGCTTCCTGTAATAAAGACCGCTCACTGCTGCTCTCTCTGCTAGTGCAGGGTGACTGGCCTGGTCTCCGCCCCCTCCTGTAATAAAGACCGTTCACTGCTGCTCTCCTTGTGCAGGGTGACTGGCCTGGTCTCCGCCCCCTCCTGTAATAAAGACCGTTCACTGCTGCTCTCCTTGTGCAGGGTGACTGGCC